CCCCAAAACCCCAAAACCCCAAAACCCCAAAACCCCTAGTAAAAGGCAGGATCTTGAAATTGCATAATTAAATTTTATTTTAACTCAAAATGGAAAAAGACATAGGTAACTTCTACACTGCATTCCTTGGTCACAATTCTCCCTCGTATTCTTAAAGAGGCTAACCCTGCTTGTAGGAATGGAACGTATCAAAACTGTTAAGCTTAAGGAGTTTAAAGAACTTCTTAACATGAAAGAGGCACCTCCTCAAACTGAGAAAGTTATGAACACTTTCTATCATTTACTCGGCCATGAGGAGAAGCATACCATTGTTAATTATCAGCAGATGGTAATCTGTGGAATGATCCAGATCCCACGCTCACTAGTGGACTTCCCAATCGTCAACCTGAAGCATGAGCAAGTACTGGTGGCAGAAGATTCTCTCGATGAAATTAATGAAGATTCTTTAAAGAAGGAGAGCCATGTTGCTCACAAAATCTTTCTTTGGATCAACTCTATACTCCAAAATTTTCATGATCGCTTTGACTCTGAAATAAAAGGTAAACACTTTATGCTCTAACCGCATAGATTACTTGAAATTAGATGCTAAACAGAAGAAAGAGAGCATCAAAGCTCATAGTCAGACAGAAAATGTAGATATGAGACTGGTGAAGGCCAAAAGAACTCCAATTGCTAGATCAGGAAATATCCAAAATTCTGAGACTGTCGAAGAGACAAAGGAAATTCATGCAACTTCTGTTGAAAAAGTCGTTGAGACCCAACCAGAAATTAGTTTGGCTGAGAAGACACCAAAGTGTCGAGAAGTACCCCCTCAACCTGAGAGCAACTCTTATTTATGGGAGGAACTCAGTAAGTGTGCAATGTCTTAATCATAGTTCTCGATGAAGATAAAGAGGCCTTTACTGGTCCTGATAAAATGGAACTACTTCAGGAAGCATTCACAAAAGCTGAAGAGACTATCCAGAATTTAGATATTCCTTCCATTAAGGAACTTAGATGTCTCAGAGCTCCAGCTGAAGTCTGCATTAAAGTATGTGGATCTGTGTTAGTTGCGTTCAAAAAGAAAGACTTAAGCTGGGATAGTGTCAGAAAGTTCCTCAGCGCTCCTGACATGAAGCAATACTTAAGAAAGTGCGACCATGAGAGTAACTTCAGTCTCTAAATCCTCTTTAGACATGTCTTACCCCAAACAATGCAAGAAGATCTATGGGCTCATCAAGGGATTATCTGAAGGAAAAGTTGCCTCTGTAAGCCTTCTAACCTGTACTAGTTATTCTTAGTAGATTTATGATTATACAGCATTTCTTAGTGTAATCAGAGAGCCTAGTCTCACTGTTTATACAATTCATAGCTGTTTTATTCGAAGAAATAGGGATTTATAGCATCTTGAATTTGTGGATAGGTTAAATCAGACAATTTTTAGGTGTTTAAGCCGAGATTTCTTATTTTTAGTAGAAATTAATTGGGTTTATAGGTAAGCCTTGCGGCTCTTGGCTTGTTTAAATGGGTGAAAGGGATGCTTTATTCCAGAATTTACACTGCTCTCAAAAATAACGAATCTATTGATGTCCGCAAGAGTGTTGTAAGGAAGAAGAGTGCTGCCAGGAATAACCCTAGACCCAAAACAGCTTCTGTTAGTGCTAGCAAAAGGGAAGAAATCAAGATTTCAACTAGGATTTTACAGAAAAGTCCTATTCGAGTTAAAGATGCTGCTAAGAGAACATCATCTAGGAAGACTCCAAAGAAGCCTAAAGGTACTTGGAAGGACATCTGTAAGTTATTTATGATAACAGGTTTAGTACTCGTCAGTAATATTGAAGAAATTGAAGGTCCAGAGGGCCTTGAGATTCTTAAAGAAAAAATTGGGCAAGAAAGCCTTAAGCTCTCTAAAGCTGATATAGTTGAAATCAAGTCAATGCCAAATCCTCCAGTAGTAGTCTCTCAAGTTCTCAGTGGTTTGCTAGCAATATTTGGGGAAAAAGATCATTCCTGGAAGAAAATTAAATCTTTTCTTTCTCAATTTAATCTCCTGACGAAGCTTGCCCATTTCGATAAGGATCATGTCGAATACACAAATTGCAAGAAAGCTTATGCACTGATTAAAGACCTAAACCCTGAGATGGTAGCAAATGTAAGATTTTAGAAAAACTTTTCAAATCTCAGAAATAAGCTAATCTCTATTTTTAGGTCAGCAAAGGTGCATTAGGAATTTACTCGTGGATTCGATCGATCATCAACTTCAGAGTATTCATAGCCTTGTCAAACAATGAATCTGTTCCAGAAAGGAAAGGTTGCGGACTAAAAAAGAATGCCTCTAAAAAGAGATTTAATCCTAGTTACAAATTCTCTCCAGGGATGTCTGACTCTCAGAGGCACAATCAGTCTCTTGATAGTGCTTCAATTCCTTCAAATATGGGAAATAATTCTTTTACCCAGTCAGCTTATGAATATAATAAACAACTGGAGGACGTCAAAAATGACATCGAGAAAAGATATACTTACGTGCACGATAAAGCTTCTATGGGTCAAGACTGGAGACTTTTCAGGGAAGATTCTCCTATCAGAAGAAAGATTATGCAGAACTGTAGCCCTGATAAGAAATCTGTTGAGCAGATCAATAGGAACTCGGTGACCTCAAGCACGAAAGTAATCAACAAAGCTCAAAACGATCCACTCTATAGCTCTTTTAGTTACAGTAAAGAAGGTGACTTGGATATGAGTTATTCTAGACATAAGCAGGATATAGATATTGACACTGCGATCCAGAAGGAACGAATGAAGCCTAGTAATATTAAGAAGACCCAATCGAGAGTTTCCTACCACTGGTCACCTAAGAGAAGAAGAGAAATGAAGCAGGAAGGAGAAATCATGACTATATATTACACAGAAAAGTTCATTAAAGATGTCATCAAGGATATCTCTGAGAAGAAGATCACTGCTACTGAAGGAGAAGACTACCTCAAAGATTTTGGATATGATATGCATATGGATAAGAACCCTGAGACTGGTGAAGAAGAAATAACTGTGTCCAAGATCACTGAAGAAGCTCAACCTCCTGCAGAAACGGATGAAGCCAAAGCTAAGGAAGAGAGAGTTTTGAATAAGGAATTTTCACTTGGAAAAGATCTGATCAGGGAAGCAGCAAATCATATAACTGAAGAAAGCTTGCGAGATTTGGTAGCAGATAATGATCTTAGCCCAGCAGATCAGAGTATCATTAAAACATTTATTGGTCTGTTAGAACTAATCAACCATGGGAAGCCAAAGGAATACCTTGCTTGGCATAGGATCCAGACCTCTCTCAGTTTCACTGAGGACTGGATCAATAGAATTGATGATTTCGAGACAATGATTGAGCACTATACTTTCCCACAGGAGTTGATTAATGGCTATAAAGAAGAGTTTAAGAGACATGCTCAGCTTTCCTCTGACAAGGCTTATGTCTCTAATTTAAGAGAATATCTTTGTGAAGCGTTTTGTTTACTTGATATTCTTGAAGAAATCAAGCTTAACAAGTCTCATAAAACGGCTTCGAAATCTCCTGCCAAATTTGAAAAGATAAATGAAAGAAGTCACAAGAATAAAGATTCTAAACCAGTTGCACAGAAGAAGACTGTTCAAAGAAAGAGTGGAGAGAAAACTGTGAAGAAAGCTGAGAAGAAAGTCCAGTCTGCTTCTAGCGGACACAACCCGGTTGTAGTCACTAAAAACATCAAATCAATGGAGATTGTTAAGGAGTCCTCTAAGGAGGAGTCCCCTCAATACTTCACTCAGAAGATTCGTCTTCAAGAGGAAGAAGTCCCAGCTCAGGATAAAGAAGAAGAAAGAAGAACTAGAGAGGCCAGAAGAAGAGTAGTAGAGAGTAGGTCACCAAATAAGAAGGTGACTACGAAAACATGGAGCAAGGGTGGAGCTACTTTCACAACAAAGACTACCGAGTACAAGCTAGCTAAATCTCCAGCAACTGCTAAATCTCCTAAGAGGAAGATTGTACAGAAGAAGAGGAGAGGGGCTGATAGTCCTACTAAGAGAATTATTGATCATAAGAATGCTTCCTTAAAGCACAAGAAAAATGCAAAGAAGGTTGCAGATCAAGGCCATATGCTTTATACTATCGACCCGAAAAATGCTTATTTGGTGAGCAATGATTTTTCTAAACACCTGAGTCAGGATCAAATAATCGATAAAGCAATGAACGAAAGAAAAGGTTTTACTGAAAAATATATTGATGAAGACGGTGCCCAGGTCACTAAGTATTATTACTCCTCTCCAAAATCTTATAAACTGAATAAGAGAGGAAAAGTATCGGAGGCAACGAAGAAATTTGAGGTTTCTCCTGACAAATACGTAGACGCTCAAGAGTTCTTCGAAAGTTCAAAAATAGACCATATAGTTTCAGATTCTAGCTTTAAGACAAGGAAAGATTACATCAAAGAAATTGAGGAGAGGACAAAGGCGCTGGATGATGAAATCAACAAAGATTCTTTAAGGTCTAAATACATCCGGGAATCTTCATAACTTCTCTGCCACCAGGCCTGAATATTTCGTTTAAATATCTACGCTAATTTCTGTCTTCTCGGGGTTTTGGGGTTTTGGGGTTTTGGGGTTTTGGGGTTTTGGGG